AAGGCACCATCATGTTGCTTCAGAGCAGGATGAATTTTTGTCAGGCATTGAAATCTGACAAATTTGTCAATTTTTGTAAGCCATGAGTGGAAGGAAACCATTGGTCAAGAAAATTTGATCTTGTTTTTAAAATGGAAGTCTTTCAGGCAGTCAAGGGGTCAAAATGTGTAATTTTTGTGCAGAAATCCAGCAATGAGATTGAAGATTCCCACATGGGGGTGCTTTGATGCTTTGCTCAGTTTGTATATCTGTGTGATTGACTGTGTTGTTAGCAAATATCTTACTGTATTTCAATGTGACCTGAATTGATAGAAGGTTGAGACAAATTTTGAGACAACTTTTATTTTTTTTTTTTGGTGGAACCAAACAAATTTATTCAGCCTAGTGCCTCTTAGCCCTTTTTTGCTCTCATCCTCATCTCTCTTTTGGCTTTCTTTATCTTGTTTATTGTTGCACTTCAAGTTTGCCAAGAGCACATATGCAGAAAAATGTTTTTGTTATTCATTTTCTTTATATAATACATTTGATTGTGCTATTGTTTTGCTCCTTTGACAATTTACCTTTTGTTTCATGTTGACTCTTAAACCTTTCTGTTCATGAAAGCTTTCAAGAACTGGGTACCCTGTTTTATGGGCAGAAGCCTGTGGACATGAATACAGGACATTTTGCACAAAAGACTTTTCGCACAAGTCTTTTAGCACAAGTTTTGGACCGTTTGCACAATTCTTAGTGGTCATTTCGCACAATAATTATAAGTGAGAAACATCAATATAAAAGGTATACTAATTGATACTGATAAGACATTTCACCTTCACATGTCACTTTCAATAAGATCCTACGGTGAGAACATAAACATTTATTTACATAATAACTTCAACTAGATCGAAACGCTTGTTAACACGATCACTATTCTTAAAGAAAGGAACAAATCTTTCTCTCTATGAAAATGTAAAGAACTCCCTATTCAAACGATTACTTCTTTTACTTTTCCTTTGTTAAACGAAGAAACCTTTTAGTTTTGACAGTACATCATCCACTACAAACATATGAACATGACGACCCAGCGCTAAGGACGCCATGTTGATTTCGAAAGTAATTGTCACCAATCCTCCCTCCTCTGAAGTCAAAGTAAAAACCTGCAAACTGTTTCACTTTTTATTTAAAAGGAGAAAAGACCTATTTACAAAATTTCTGTGTAAATATATAAAATTCAAGTTCATGGCCATGTTACCCGACGAATCATGCATATTTTAACTCGCTACTCAGCCAAGACTTGTAGAAATTTAGCCCTTTCCTACATTCATTTAAGCTATAGTACATCTAGATTTCTTTATTTGTTTTGATCTTAAGTTTATATGATTACTTATCGGACGGCTAGCGTATAATCTTTGAATTATTTTGAATTCTTGAAACTTTCATGAAATCATTTGTCTACATCACGGTCGCTATGATGCTTAACGATTGATACTGAACTCTCCATCGCTTAGGTAATTGTTATTAGAATAATTTGAAAGGTTACTACTTAATAGATGTATTAAAATTTATGATCTGTAAAATGATTACAGATTGAGCTTCTTTCTACAAGATCACTAGTTACTACCTACACTGACACATTCAAGTTGTCAAATCACAACACTTGCACGTGCCAACATTCGATGTGAATCACTCTCTGAATATTGAGTTATTAACGTTGAACTATTTTTGCTGAAGGTACTACCAGTATGCCTAATTTTCATTATATAACGTAGAAGTTATTATGTAAATAAATGTCTACATTTTCACTGTTGGATCTTGTGAAGGTGAAATGTCTTATCAGTATCAATCAGTATACCTGTTACATTGATGTTTCTCACTTATAATTATTGTGCGAAATGACCACTAAGAATTGTGCGAATGGTCAAAAACTTGTGCTAAAAGACTTGTGTGAAAAGTCTTTTGTGCGAAATGTCCGGTTACCGTGGACATCCCTCACCCTTGGTTCCCTAGCTACAACCTCAACGATAAACTTGAAGTGAAGCCTAGAGCTTTGACTCCTAATCAGCATTTTCTTACTTCAAAATGTAAGCGCATGGCACTCTTTCATTAATTGTGTCCTATGTTCTATTTTATAGGTACAAGCACAAAAGACCAACCCATAAATATTGTGAGAAGACATTGCTCTCATATCCGTAAGGTTCCAGACATTTATACATCAGAGCAATTGAAGAGTGTGCGCATTGTGTTTGAGTCAGATGATTCGACAAATTTCATATCTGATGAAAGTGGAGTTGTTATTGGTTACGCTACTTTCAAAACAGGTATATTCTATTAGCTTAAACCCTTACATGATAAAATACACAACACAATACTGAC